CCCCTGACGCGCCAGGGTGGCGGTTCTACCACCCCACCTCTCGCCGTGTTCTGTCCTCCCAGGACGTCACGTTTGACGAGTCGGTCCCCTACTACCGTCTCTTCCCCTACCGCACTCCGTCCCTCCCCCCGCCACCGCTCTTCCTTGTGCCAGGTCCCCCCCCGGTAGACCCCCTTCCCCCTCAGGGTCCTGCCCCTTCAGGTGTGTCCCAGGTAGACGCAGTCGAGCCTGTGGAGGTCGCTGGTGACTCTGGTGCTGCTGGGGGTGCTGAGCCTGGGGGTGCTGACTCTGGGGGTGCTGAGCGTGTGGGTGCTACGCCTGGGGGTGCTGAGCCTGGGGGTGCTGAGCCTGAGGGTGCTACGACTGGGGGTGCTGAGCCTGGGGGTGCTGAGTCTGGGGGTGCTGAGCCTGGGGGTGCTACGACTGGGGGTGCTGAGCCTGGGGGTGCTACGCCTGGAGGTGCTGAGCCTGGGGGTGCGGAGCCTGAGGGAGCTGGGCCTGCTCGTGTGGCGTCTGGCGGTGCTGGGCCTGGAGGTTCTCTGGGTGCTCCGTCTCGCCGGGAGCCACTCTCTCCACAGGAGGTGCGTGAGAGGTTTGCCCGGCGCTGGAGGCGTGCAGCTGGAGCTGGAGGTTCTTCGGCTGCTGAGGGTGCTGGTGCCACGGGTCCCGGAGGTGCTCGTACTGGGAGTACTGGAGCTGCTGGGCCTGCGGGTACTATTGGAGCTGGAGCCACTTCGTCTTCTCGTGGTCCGACTGGAGCTGGAGCTGCTGAGGGTGTTGGCGCTGAGGGTACTGCTGGCGGTACTGGAGGCGGTCCTGCTGGGGGTGCTACTGGTGCTGCTGGAGGTCCTGGAGCTACAAGAGCTGCTGGGGGTACTGGAGCTGGAGGTGCTGCTGGCGCTGGTGCTACCACTGGGGGTACTGGTGCTGTCCCTGCTGTGTCTGGAGTCGCTGCGCGGCCTCGGCCGTACTTCGTTCCGCTTCTTGAGCAGGTTCTTGGTCTCACCGCCTTCTACTGGTCCTCCTCCTCCCTTAGAGTGTCCACAGCCTGTCCCGTCACAGTTACAGTTACAGCCGGCCTCCCCACTGCCTGCTTCTTCTCCCTACACTGGTCCTACTGGAGGTCTTGCTGAGCGTCGTGACCCTGCGTCTCGTCCTGCGTCGCCTGTCCGTGCTGCTCGCGCTCGTGGTCGTGGTTCGCGTCAGCGTCCTCCCCCTGTGCCCGGCACGCACCGGATGTCTCTCCGTCCGTCCACTGCTCCTCTGCGTGCCCCTTTGCCTTCTCCTCCTGAGTCCTCTCTTCCCGCTCTTGCTGACCCGGAGTCTGACTCCCTTCGTGCTGCCAGTCCGACTGTCACGCGTCTCCTTGCTACTGTTGTCACTGACCCTTCCTTTGAGTCCACTGCTGCGTCTGCCCTAGTTGCTGAGCTCGTCGACTTTGCTGCTCGCTGTCGTCTAGACTACGCTGCTAGTCTTGTTGCTGCGTCTGAGTCTGTCTGTCCTCCGTCCGTCGGGGGTGAGTGTGCCCTTGGCACGGACGTCCTTGAGGACAGGCAGGAGGAGTTCCAGTGTTTGGCTGCTGCTTCACCTCATCTCGTGTCCGTACTGCTTACCCCTGAGGGAGACCCGGATGCACTTGACATCCCGACTCCGCGCTCTTACGCGGAGGCGATAGAGGGTCCCTACTCCTCTCAGTGGCAGGCAGCTATGGACGCAGAGATGGCTTCCTGGAAGTCCACAGGCACCTACGTTGACGAGGTCCCCCCGCCTGGGGCGAACATCGTCAGTGGCATGTGGATTTTCAGGGTGAAGCGGCCGCCGGGTTCTCCGCCTGCCTTCAAGGCGCGTTACGTGGCTCGTGGCTTCAGTCAGCGGCAGGGATTTGACTACTTTCAGACCTTCTCTCCCACCCCGAAGATGACCACTCTTCGGGTACTGCTGCACATAGCTGCTCACCGTGACTACGAGCTACACTCTCTTGACTTCAGCACTGCTTTCTTGCAGGGCAGCCTGCACGAGGAGATCAGGCTGCGCCGCCCACTTGGCTTCACTGGGACTTTTCCTCCTGGCACCCAATGGAGCCTCCGGCGGCCAGTCTACGGTCTCCGCCAGGCACCGCGTGAGTGGCACGACACACTGAGGACTACGCTTGCGGCTCTTGGGTTTGCTCCCTCTACTGCCGACCCGTCGCTGTTTCTGCGCACCGACACTTCTTTGCCGCCGTTCTACATCCTCGTGTACGTCGACGACTTGGTCTTTGCCACAGCTGACACTGCTGGACTCGCCCACGTGAAGTCCGAGCTGCAGAAGAGACACACGTGCACATACCTGGGTGAACTGCGCAGCTACCTTGGCTTGCAGATCACCCAGGACAGAGCACGCCGCACCATTACCCTGACTCAGTCACACATGGTGCAGCAGGTCCTTCAGCGCTTCGGCTTCACGTACTCCTCGCCTCAGGCCACTCCTCTGCCTACTCGCCACTCGCTCTCAGCTCTGCCTTCGGATGAGTCCGTAGAGTCGAGTGGCCCGTACCCAGAGCTTGTTGGCTGCCTCATGTACCTGATGACCTGCACTCGACCTGACCTTGCATACCCTCTTAGCATTCTCGCACGCTATGTTGCTCCTGGGAGACACAGACCGGAGCACATGGCTGCAGCGAAGAGGGTGTTGCGCTACTTGTGCAGTACGTCGGGCATGGGGCTTGTGCTTGGAGGGCAGAGTCCAGTGGTCCTCACTGGGCACGCAGACGCTTCTTGGGCTGACGACCAGGCTACGCAGCGGTCGTCACAGGGTTACACCTTCAGCCTTGGTTCCGGCTCTGTCTCGTGGCGGGCTACCCGCTCGTCTTCTGTTCTCGGCTCCAGTTGTGAGGCTGAGATCTACGCAGGGGCCATGGCTGCACAGGAGCTTCGCTGGCTCACCTACCTGCTCACTGACCTCGGAGAGCCGCCTCGTTCTCCTCCAGTGCTGTACGTAGACAACAAGGCCATGCTGGCCTTGTGTCGGGAGCAGAGACTGGAGCACAGAACGAAGCACATTGCTCTTCGCTACTTCCTTGCTCGTGAGCTACAGCAGCGTGGTCAGCTACGCCTTGCGTACGTGGCCTCTCAGGCCAACACTGCTAATATCTTCACCAAGGCACTTGCGCCTTGTGATCATCAGCGCTTCTGTACTCAGCTGGGTCTTGTGCCTACCTTGCCTCACTTGCTCACCCTTTGACCTTGTTTGTACTGTTACATATATATATACACCTGCTCTTGCTTGTTTAGCCTTATATATATATGTAATCCTGCATGTGAACTGGCCTTGTGGCCTTGAACTTGTGCTCGGAATGTGTGGTGACGTTGTGATCCACCCTGAGCTTGCTTTGCTTTGCTTGACTGGTCTTGTGACCCCTTGTCCTCCCCCACTTTGCCTATGGGGGTGTGTCAGATTTATATGACTTAGCTGCTGTAGCCTATAGTGGGGTAGCACATATGGGGTACAGCTTTCTAGGGTTTGTACTTGTACCCAACTTTCCCTTAGTCTTTTCATTCCTCGTTCATTCTCACAAAAACACCCTGATTACCCTGGGGGCCGGCCACTTTTTCAGGATTACCCTGCCAAAATCAGGATTGCACGATAGTTACCCTTCTGCAAAAAGAGCATGTTTTTTTTTACACTGATTGGATTTATGGTTAGCCTGACGTTGTCAGGGTAGGGTGTAGACTACCCTGATACCGAAACTTCTTTACCGCGCATCAGGCCTTATTCCGCGTGGTGACGAACTGTACCACACTCACACAAACAGACATTTCCAAAAAGCCCTGACAACAAATTCGCCCTGGCACGGTAGTTTCGTGCAGTCAGAGCACAGCAAATTCGCCCAATCACAGTTTTGCGCTGTCAGAGAGCAGAAAATTTGCCCAATCACAGCGGAATTACCTTGACACAAGAGCAGATTCGCCCTTACACGAGATTCGCCCTGTCAAACCCCTGTTGTGAGTGCTACTTTATTATGTTAGTATAAAAAGCTTAGCTCACAAAATACGGTAGTAGCCGAAACAGGCTTAGCCTAAAACTACCCTGCTCAAATCAGGCTATTGGTTGATTTACCCTGCTGCAAACAGGGTACGAAAATTTTTACCTTAGGGGTCGGGCTAAGGAGGGGCTGGAACCCTGATTTGTAAGGGTAGGCCTAAACCAATTTTGGGCCCTGGTGGTGACGAACTGTACCACACTCACACAAACAGACATTTCCAAAAAGCCCTGACAGCAAATTCGCCCTGGCACGGTAGTTTCGTGCAGTCAGAGCACAGCAAATTCGCCCAGTTTTGCGCTGTCAGAGAGCAGAAAATTTGCCCAGTCACAGCGGAATTACCCTGACACAAGAGCAGATTCGCCCTTACACGAGATTCGCCCTGTCAGACCCCTGTTGTGAGTGCTATTTTATTATGTTAGTATAAAAAGCTTAGCTCACAAAATACGGTATTAGCCGAAACAGGCTTAGCCTAAAATTACCCTGCTCAAATTAGGCTATTGGTTGATTTACCCTGCTGCAAACAGGGTACGAAACTTTTTACCCTAGGGGTCGGGCTAAGGAGGGGCTGGAACCCTGATTTGTAAGGGTAGGCCTAAACCAATTTTGGGCCCTGCTCGTTGGGTATCGGTAGGACGATCCAATCCCAGATGAGCGCATGCAAAACCCCCTTGTGGGGCGTTGGCAGATCTAGCCGTTACGGGGGTTGGAACGGAACCACAACAATTAGAAGTGACACATTCTTCTACCTTGGCCACTTCAAGAGTCATTGATTTGGCACTATTACCACGTCGTTACAATCAGAAATGAACTGGACGCAACCGAAGCTTTCGTAAATCTCTTTAGCGCGTATTATTGTTGGCGCACTTGTGATGCGAACAGCTAGATCGTCCAGCAATAGCGCACCTTGCAACACGTACACAGCTCCGCTGGGCTGTGGAAATTAGTCTAGCCAACTAGACGAGATGGCCTGTAAAGTATGCGATCGATCGGAGGAAGCGAAAAGGAGCAGCTTGAGGTGATGAAATTTCGACGAGAGATGGCTGATGTGAACGCAGACAGGGAGCAGCAGAACGGGAAGCGACGCGCAGGTCGAGAGTCTTTGATTCAGCGGAAGCCGATCGGTGGGCAAACGAGCGTGCGACACGTGGTCCCGTACTCGTGGCGCATAGCATCATGTGTGCTCGTCCTTCTCCTCGCTACGCAAGTGAGTCCTTTGCTCGCTTCGATCATCGCAGCACCGCACTTTGCTTCCAGCCCTCGCTCTTCACCGCCCCCGCGTCCCCGTAGCCAGCCATGCCGCCTTCCCCGCTGCATCGCGCCCATTTTGACGGCGCCGGGCACCCCTTTCCCATCACTGCGTCGCATTGCTCTGCGTCGCATCCGCTATGCGTGTTCATCGGACTTCACCACCCTCCCACCACTCTCTCGTCTTAACCCAATCAGAGCCCGCCACGTGTCGCCTCCATAGACGTGGAGGGCGGGCTGGGAGGCGCGGAGGACCCGTGGGGGTGGGCGTATCGGGAGGAGGTGTGCGGCGCGTGGCACACCAACTACACCCATCTGCACCGCATCATCCGCTCCGCCGCGCGCCAGCTCGTGCAGGCCCGCCAGACTGACTCGGCTGGCACCAGTGGTGCTGCTGGGGGAGGAAGGGGGCATGGGGACGGGGTCTGGGAAGCGCGGAATGACGAGGAGGGAGGTGGAGGGGGTGGCGGGGACGGGGAAGGCGGCGGCGAGGCGGCGCGCATGGCGGGCATGGTGCGGTTTGCGACGTACTCGTGTGAGTCGCTGGCGCGGTGTGGCGGCGTGGGCGACGTGCTGCTGGGCGTGTTCTCCACGTTCCTCATCGCGCTGCTGCAGGACCGCGCCCTCGTGCTCAGCCACCCGCTGCTGCACCACGCCTTCCTCCCCGCGCACGTCAACTGGACCCTCGATGACGACGTGCCCTGGGGGGCGGGCCGGGAGCTCGACCCCAACAACCCCACCGATGGTGCGCAGCAGCAGCAGCAGCCGCCGCCGCACCATGCGGGGGACTTTGGGGACATGGCCAGGTGGACAGCGCTGGGATGCCTCACCCTTACTTCCTGCACGCTTCTCCTCTTTTGCTCCACCCTTTCAATCCCAGCCTCTCTGCGTTCTTCGTCCTCCATTTCTTCCTTCCCCTCTATACCTCGCCCTCACCCTTACCTCCCCCTACCTCTCGCTGCCTCCCTCGTCCTGCATGCAGAGGCGCAGCCAGGAGAGGTGACGGACGTGAATCTGCAGGACACGGTGCCGCCCAGCCCCGAGGCGTTCTTCGCGCGCCACGAGGCAGCGGCCAACATGCGAGTGCGGTGGAACCGCGGGGTGGCCACGCGCCTCTTCAGGGAGGGCGGCGACTGGAGCCGCCTGCTGCACCGCCTCGGCCTGCGCCTGCCCGTCTCCTTCGGCTGCGTCATCCGCTTCCTGCTCAGGTGCCATCCGCTTCCTGCTCAGGTGCCATCCGCTTCCTGCTCAGGTGCCATCCGCTTCCTGCTCAGGTGCCATCTGCTCTCCTGTGCCTTGTCTCAGGTTCCCCACTCAGCTCCTGCGCCGTTGCCCATGCCTATGTTGCCCCACTCATTTCTCCTTGGGATTCTCATGTGTTTCACTTTCCACTCCCCACTCTCCTTTGCTTGTTAAATGTGTTGCATGAGTCAACACTACAGAAGCGTCATATACACCTGTGATGCTCCCCCGTCCCCGTGCGCTTGTCACAAGTTTCGATTCCCACTCTCTTTGGCTTGTCATACCCATTTCCATCCTCCTTGGCTCATCATGTCTTCTACTCTCCTTGGCTTTTCAAGTTTTGTGCAATGAGACACCCCTACAGCTGCGTCACCCCCTCCCTCCCCCCTCCTCCATGTGTGTTCTCCCCTCTCCTCCACCTGTGTTGCTCCCCCCTCCCCCCGCCCTGCACTGCGTTGCTCGCGGTGCCACCATGTGTGGGGCAGGCCCAAGCTGGAAGTGTTGAGGGCGGTGGAGCAGCAGATGAGGGAGGTGGAGCGGCCGGGGGTGAGCAGCATCTGCATCCACACGCGCACGCCCGACGAGATGACGTGGACCAATCGGGGGGAGGTGCTTGGTGGGGAGAATGACGCTGCTGCAGAGCTGCTGGGATGGGCCAGAAACAAGCTCTTGGCATGTGCACAGGTGAGGGACAAAGCTCCTCTTGCCTGTTTCTTTGGTGATCTTGTCAATTTTTCTTCATGTGACCACGTTGCTAATCACGTTGTTGGCTCCCCTTCCATCCCGCTCACCGCTCTGCCACACGTACTGCATGTGGCACGCGCCACGCGCACACGAGTAGAAGGTGGAGGATTTTTGGATCCCGGGGGATGTGGCGGTGCGGTGGGTGTTTCTGAGCAACTCGCGGGACATCAAGGAGGCGGTGCTGGCGCAGTACGGCGACAGCAAGGTGCTCACCACGGGCATCACGCCGCTGCACACCGCCATGGTGCGCGCGGCAGCGGCGCGTGTGGCGTCGTGGCAGACGTCGGTGGCGGAGTGGGTGCTGCTGACGCGCTGCTCGCTCTTCGTGGTCACCGAGTCGGGCTTCTCCAAGACCGCCGCACTCTTCTCGCTGCGCCCCCTCGCCATCTACCTGCTCGCGCGCCACCACTACCGCAGCGCGCGCAACCAGTGGACCGACTCCTGCGACCCCGAGAGGCCCGCCTCCTTCGCCCTGCTGGGCGAGCGCTGGAGCGGCATCTGATCTGACCGCCCCGCTCGTGCTTGGGGGGACTGGAGAGATGGGGGTGGAGCGTGACTTTATGCATGCCAATCATTCCATGGCAGTGGTGCTTTCAGAAGCTCATCAGCAGAGAGATGGCTGCAACACTGGCAAGCTGTTACGGAGAGCTTGATACCCTGGTGTGGACTTGGGGTCATGTTGGGAAACTGGTCCATGCAAAGGCACTACAAATGCTATTGTAACATGGCTGATGTTGTCAGTCTTGTACAATGACGCACTTATCTACTAGAGGTAGGAACGATTCGCTTGGAAATTGGCGGGGGGGTTGGTCATTCCGCAAGGCATTACTACCGTGTGCGAAAGGCGGTACACTCGCAGTTGGGTGGGTTGTGTCAGAAGTGGAACAACAGAATGACTGAAAGAGAATGTTGGTGCTAGAAAGGCGTAGTGCAAGCGTAGCGGAAACGTGTTTGTAGAAAGAACAAGATAGAAAGCTTGCATTGGAAATGGGTTGAGAATTGATTGATATTGGGGAATACAAGCAAGGTTGATATAGCATGCAGGATCTAATGATGGAGAGTACTTCGTGGGACTAGAAAGTAGAAGCAAGAAAAGTAGAGTGCCAGGTGGCACAAGGAAATCAAGGAGGATAAGGATAAGGGTGAGTTGGAAAGTACTGTTCAAAGGGAACAGTAAATCTCCCCCCCCCTTATCATGGAGGCTACACTAAAACCAAACAGCACTGGTATACAGTATTCGTTATACTGTATTCGGTTTTCCAACACTCCCCCTTGTTGTAGGTTTTAGTGAATTCGTCTTTCTTGGAGGATGGGGTGGATAAGGTGGTGTACCACCGTAGCAGAGGTAGGGGTGCTCCCAACCGAAGCCAAGCTAGGGTTTGGTGTTCACCAAGCCGCTTGTCATTTTGCCCTTCCCAAACTCTCGGTGCTTCCAACTCCAACCAAACCATCTTTCCTCACGTTTTCCAAACCCTCCTTTCGATCTCGACTTTCCAGATCCAGATCCAATGAGTAATGGCTACGTCTGAGGAAATCGTAGCAGCTCCATGACGAAATCTCCTCAAAACCATGTCGAAATGCGTATATCGTCATGGCGGAGTGCCCTTAGCGCACGCCGAATTTCCGAAACCGTCAAATTTACGTCACGCGATTGTCAGTGCTGCTGTCTTTTCCGCATGCCTCCTATGCGACGACGAAAACGCCGCAGCGGATGCGCGTCTGCGACGACTACAGTTGCGGATGACGCGAAGCGGTAGCGGACAACGCATGGCGTGCGGCTGGCGCAGAACTGCATTGGCAGGCGTACACGGCGTGCGGTAGAAGCGACGATCTGGCGTGTGTTAGTGGCTGACGATCTGCTGCGCGTCTGCTGCACCATTTTCCTGTCCGCGCTTGCTGTATCTTCGTGGGTCTTTTCTCCCCCTGTCTTCCTGTCCTGCCTTTCTCTGTAGACCTTGCCCTTCTCCCCCTGCCTCGTGATGTGATGGCATCAGGTTGTGCAAGTCTTGAATGCACACCAGCAGATGATGCGAAGTCTGCTCGAACTTCACCCATGCTGCCCTGTGACGCTCCCCCTATAATCCAGGTGCCGAACTCCATCAGCTCGAGTTGACAGGTGCACTCCAAGTATGCAGTGGACGCCAAGTATGCAGTAATGTGCCCCCATGTATGCAGTAATGAGTACTCCAAGTATGCCGTAATGTGCACACCAGGAATGCAGAAATGTGTGCTCCCATGTATGTTCTCCATTCTTCCTTCAGGTGGTGCTGTTCAACCGTAGTAACCAGTCACACGATACCGCTGCAGCACGACGGATGACGACCTGCTGCATCCATTCTGCCTGCTCCCCCTGCCTATTGGCAACCCTTGGTGAGTATGTCTTCCCCATATGCTTCTTGACTCCATGTCCCACTCCAGTGCCTGCAGGTACATTCCACACCCCACCTCCCCCCCACACGTGTGCTTATAGTCATGCACGTAACCGCGTACACAGCTACAAGCACGTGAGTGAGTGTGGAGTTAGGTGATGCCATGGTGTGCAGCACAGCTCGAGGTAGCCGCACCAGAACACTTGACTTGATGATTGCTCAGCAGACCATTCAGCAGATCGTCAGGTAAGATGCTGCCCGCTTGGCTTGACCATCGCACTTCCCACATCATCAATTTCCACACCTTCCGGGACGGAGACAGCTGTCCCAGGTAAGTCATCAGCGGTGCCTCTGCTTCCTTCGGCTGCACTGACTTCATCAGCTGCGTCAGCTCCAGGTAAGTCTTCTTTTGTAGAGTCCGCTCCGTCGCCTCCATTACCTTTAGTGATTGCGGACCTCTGTCCTTCTCCCCACCACACTGTGGGGTGAGACTTCATCCGTGGTATCATCATGTGCCGGCTGTCGCACGATGTAGGCTTTGTGTGCCATGCGGTATTGAACCGATGTGTGTGCAGAACGTGCACTCAAGTGCACTTCACGTGTGCGAAAAAGCGTGCTTCCGTGGGTATCCAAGTGCACTCCAGGTGTGGGGAAAGGTGTACCCCCTTCACAACCATGCTTCTTTGATGACGCACCATCGCAGGAATGTCCAGAATCATGAGCGGATGTAAGTGCCGGTTCATACTCCACCACGAGCACCCCGTCCACGTCCTTGCCAAGTCCAATCCGCACGTACTCATCTCCATCAGTCATAGTGATTTCGATGTCTCCATCAGTAACCGTGTTGATATGAGCCCCCTTTTTCAGTAGCTGACAATAGGAGAGCAGGTTGTTCTTCAAGCCAGGTACATAGAGTACTTCAGTGTAGCGAACTGTTGTCCCATCAGGTGCTATTGCTCTAATCGTTCCCGTCATCGTGCTGCTCAAATGCTCCCATCAGCGAGCTCCACATAAACAGCTTCGTCGAGCTCCTTTAACTCTTCGAACCAGCACTTCTTCGAAGTCATGTGCTGGCTACATCCGCTGTCCAGCAACCACGACGACCCTCCAGTTGAAGGTGAGGTTGCTTGTGACGGCTGCACTGTTGCAATGCAGGTAACAGTCCGTTGCTTGTCTTCCCCGGCTGCCCCTTGCTGTTTCGACACATAGTTGTCACGCTTGGGGCTGCGACTCCTTCGTGGAGAGAACGAACGATTGTCGCTGGTGTGCAGTTTTGCCTTTCCGCGGGTATGCGGATCCCACCCTGGTGGTGTCCAGCCTGGGGGTGCCTTGGTACACCTGAAGAAGGGGTGGCCTGGTTCCTTGCAGTACCAACACACGAGAGATGAGTGACTTGCATCTCCATCCTTGCCATGTGTTTTCTCTCCAACGTACCCCTCCTTCTTCCCGCTATTGCCCTTAGCAGTTGGAGAAGGTGAACGCTCTCCACGGGCTTGTCCAGCCATGCGAGGTGGACGCCGGTCATGGTTAGCCTTCGTGATGAGGTCGTGATATCTCTGTTCCCGAATCATCATCCGCTGCAAAGTGAAGCTGTCCGTCACGTTGTGTAGCATTGCCGAGTGCCTCATCTCCTCCCAATGTGCCGGTAGTCCGGTGAGCAGATTTAAGGTGAATGTGTCCTCGTCCACCATCTTTCCCGCCAGTGCCAACTTGTCCCGAATCGCCGTTGCGCGGTTCACATACTCCTCCACCCTCTCTTGATTCCCCATTTTCAGGTTGTCCAATTGCTTCATCAGAGAGACCTTCGCCACCGAATCTTTGGCCTGGTAAGTGTCCATTAAATACTCCCATGCTTCATAAGCCGGGCTGTAGGATTCCTGGAACATGTCTAGCTGTAGCTGAATCGTGGCGCTCACGCTGTGCAATAGGACCCAAAAGGCGAGTGCCGCACACTATGAGTAATCCGCCTGTAGCATTTCCAGCCGCTCCATAGCGTCGTCAATGTCGCCATGTCCCATGGTAACCGGATACTGTAGGGTCACAAAGAACTCCCACAGATTCGTGACTCGAGCGTTCATACGAAACCGCAGTGCCCATTCGCGGAAATTTGAGCCGTCAAACGGAGTGGTGGTGAATGCCTTGTCCACCATTCCTCCCACCATTTTCCGTGACAGCCGTTCCTTGTCTTCGTCCGTATATTCACGTGGTGCGGGGTCGAAGAGAGTAGGCATGGTTGAGGGTCGAGGTAGCTGTACCGTGCGCCGCATATCTCCATTCTGTCCACCAAGTTGACGTTCCAGCCTTCCACTTTATCCCGTCGCATGACACCGCTTGACTGCATTCCGTATCCCATCCGCCCCATGCTGGCCACAGAGTGTGCGCTGATTGGTGGACGATGTGCACGTGGAGGGATGATGTTGTCGCCATGAAGGTGAGACCTGGGCATGGGAAGAACTCCAATGGGATGAGAGTTAGTCGCAAGTCGTCGTAGTGGGGGAGCACCAATAGTGTAGGAGGCAAAACCCACACCTTCCACACCCACTTGACCATTTCCATCACCCTGCTGCCCAATCTGTCCTCTTCTCATTCCACCATGCACTGCACTCCCATACTCATCATTCCTCCCCCGTGCTTCCTTTTGCATGGACGATTGAGGTGCGGGATTTGCGCTCTCCTCTCCTTGGACGGATGCATCCCTCCCTTGGGATGACTCTCCTCCTTGAGGTATGCCCATTTCTCCGTCACCATCAATTCCTGCATGAACATTTGATGCACGAGATTGGTTAGTACGAGGAGTGCTTGAATGAGATTGCTCATGAGTGGACGGATTGCTGAGCCCGTCAGAGTGTGTTTTCGTTGGCATGTTGAACTTGACCCGTAGTGATGCCTGAAGTGCGGGTGGTGCCCTTGCGATCATGTTTTCCAGGTGCTCGTGCTGAGCCAATATGGCTTCCTCGAAAGCCGCATATCCAGCATCTTCTTCATCGTCGAAGTGCGCCATGATGTTGATCAAACCGTACACCAAGTGTGCGCTAAATGCGCACCAGGTATACACTAGCGTAGACCGGGTGTGCGGTACTCTGACTGTATGCACACACCTATCCGTAGTAAATGTCAGTAAACTTCTGAACCA